GTCCTGTAGTGGTCGCGTCTGTCCGTCACCCTCCTAACTCTTGAGGCGCCAGACGAGGTCACTCAGAACATAGGACCTCGCGCGAAAGCAGTTTTCCCGCGTGCCTCGGGCCTATGCACAAACGGACGCCCGCCCAGGCTAGCCAGCCTTCGTCCATCTCAAGGTCACGTCACGACCTCTAGACTAGACATCAGTCGCGTGATTAGCCACCGTAACAAAGCATGCGCCGATACTGCGGCGATTCCGGAGGCTCTCATGACTCTGGAATTGACGCCCTGACAGCCGCATTGCACTCATGCGAGAGTCAAAACTCTTTCCATATATTATCCTATCCTTCTGCAGAATGCACTGTTCCTAACAATCTAGCTTTCCCACCGCCTTCTCTCCCCTCTCCTAAGGAACCGGAACTGGAAGACCGCAGCCGTTAGGGTTAAACCTGATAAGCCTTAACATCTTTCAATAGTCCTGCACACCGGCTGGCTTTCTAAAATGCCGCATTTCTCGACTATGGTATCGTTATATGGCGACCATGAACGGCAAGTAAGGAAACCTGCTGGCAACCGCATTACTTTGGCTAGATTCTTGAATCAAAACGCTGGAAGAGGCAACCTCGCCTGTACGTAGCACCCGCAACATCCCTGAGACCGAAAGATCTCTTCGAGTTTGCCCGCACAACTCACCTGTGTGGTTATCCCAATAAGGCCACAAATGAACGAAATCCATTGGATTTCAGACAGTTTTTTGTCAGCTAGCCAGTGGTACGACTTTGGAGTTCGCTGCCAAGCGAGATGGTTACCGCCGACACGATTTCTGATTTTAAAAGAAGAGTTGGGGGTATTATATTTGACAAAAGGCGACTCTCACAACATGACATCTTAATACCAGTCTTCCAGAATATTCCTGGCTCACACTGTTTCGCACTGTACCATGACAACCCATTTAAAGTTGTCACGATTTGAGTCCAAAATATTTTAAATGTCTAAAGCTTTATATTGAGTTTAAATATGCAATAATGT